TCAAAAAGGGCAATCTATAAAAAATAAAATAAAAATAAAAAAAAACTCCATATAGCTAAACTTGGCAGTGGTTCATTGCACTTGGGAGTAGATCTTTCCAAATTTAGTGGGAGTGAGCTAATCGCTCCTTCCCAAACTAAACAGAAACTGATGAATGAAGAATCTCTTGTACGGTTACTGCAGTGAAAAATCTTTGTTGTTAGTTGTAATTAATTCATCAAATTTTATTGGGTTGGAAATTGTAATTAATTTAAGTAGTAGGATCACTACTGTACCAAAAGATGAGGGCAAAACGTGTCCGTACATACGTACCAAAATTATTCTTGGTATTATTATTAATATTCAAATTAAATGAGTGACAACTATTGATAGATCCTCCCAACTAATAATAACAATTAATTAATTAACAAGGTTGGGTTCAATATTAACTCCATAATTGAATGGTGTTAAGCTAAAGTGAAACCGATAATACTATTTGAAAAGACATTTACTAGAATTATGATAGTAATCCTAATACTTTTGTTTTGTTAAAGTCCTAAGATGAAGAAACGATATTAAATTAAATTAATTAAAGTACAAGAAAACTTGTTAGATGACTAACACCCAACAAAAAAAAATTAAATTTGAAAAAAGTAAATTATTAAAGTATGTTATTGATTTGGATCAGACAGGTGATGAGTATTAAAATAAAATTATATTTCGTAGTACATTATGTCCTTTCGATTTCATTAGTAGACATAACAATGCGCGTAAATTTTAATATCAGTTGTCTACTTAGTGTAAAATTATATTGTATATCAAAAATAAAATTTGGAAACATCTTCATAAATAAAAATTACTTAAGCAATATTTGTTGTTGTTCGTGATTGATTTTTGGATCACACTCTGGATGTGTTGGAAATTTTGAATAACATATCACTATAAGTACATCTTATTATTTATACATGTATTAAGTGTTTCTCAAATAAAAAATATGGATCAAGTGGCGAACAACTTGTTCATCATTATATATTTTGTACAAAGTAGGTTTTTCCAATAATCTCCAAAAATTCTTATTTTTCCTTGAATAGTTCTTTTTTTTTTTTTTTTTTTGAATCATTCCTTGAATAGCTCTTAAAACAAACAAACAAATAAATAAACAGTCTAGTTTAATAATTTTATGCATGAATGATAATCTCTTCTTCCAACTCTTTGTCTTGTATTACTTGTAACAATATGCTTTACAATCACCTGGTCAACGAACGTTTAATCTCTTTCAAACAACACATATGTGATTCACTATTTTACAGTCTTATCGAGTTCAATTCACCTTACCGAATAAGAGAACCTCATATTGTAACGTGTACACGTAATTTATAATTAATGCATACTTTAACTGATAGAGGGTAGCGATTCGTTTACTCGTAAATAACCTACTTCATTCTATGGTTTGTCCACAGTTTTATATAGTTACGTACGTATAAACCAAGAAAAGAAAATACAGAGTAAATCACACAGATGTTTCCGTACAAAGTAGAATGTGGAAAAAGAAAGATGCGTGTATTATTGGTGGATTGGAGTGTAATCAACCATAAATATTCTATTAACCTTTTCTTGGTTTAATTTATTACTCAAAGTTTATATTCTAATTCTACTTCTAGTAGCTAACTAGGTTTTAGCTTGCATTTTTAACTATATTTTATTATCTTATGGCAGACATTATCTAGATTAACAAAAAAAAATTATAATTATTGAAATAGTTAATATATTGATTCTTAATTATTATCCATATAAATTACATTTTATATACCGTTATAGTTGGTTATAATATTGCTACAATCTGATTTCATTTTATTAAATATTATAAAATTTTTATGTTGACTAGATGTGTCATGTGACTAAAAAATATATAAATGTATGTACAAAATATATTTAAAAATATCTCAACCCAAGATTTAATGTCTCACATACCTACAATTTTTGGATACATATTTGAAAACAGCTTGAATCAAGTAAGGGGGACAAACTAAAAAATGACAACTATTACGGAGGTTTTTTTTTTTTTTTTTTTTTGACATTGAAATTATGTGAATATGATATTGAGTAACCTATTCCGAAAAAAATGAGTATTCTCTCCATCCCCGGCTATATATTGTATGAAAGGGTAAAGTTGTGATCTACTGGTCTTACATTCTTAGTTAAAAATAGAGATTGAGTGATATTACTTTTAAAACGACGTTAAATGTTAAATAAAACGAAGAGAATAGATGATAAGAGTATATAAGAAGCATGTTGGTACATTAGCTTAGCTTATTTAACGGACGTGTTAATAGGGGCTAAACATGCTTAATTATATTAGGTGTTCGATATTATTCCAAGTTGTCTGATTTGGCTGTCGGGATGATGATGTTGATTTAAGAGCCTTGATTAAGTAAAATGTACAAGTAGTTAATTTAATTTTAGCAATTTGATTGGACCTACATTTTTGGGATTCTAATTTAATTCACGGGAAGATGAAATAGGTGATAAATATTAAATAATGTCTACAACCGTAGTAAAGTAATACAAATATAATATCCAATAATTTAGCCCCAAATCTATCTCAAATGGTCGTACGATTAGTGTATAAATGTGAACTATTTCAACGACCTCGAATTTCAGTTAGGATTATTGATGATGATGTACTGATGTTTACACAAGCATCATGTGGGTTTTAATTTGATTTTTAAATTTTTAAGTTTCAAGGTATTATTTTCATAATGTGTTTTCCTTGAAAAATTAAGTTTAATAATAATAAAAAATATATATATATACAAGCAATTAATTATTACAATGGCACTCTTATAAAATCTTCCCTAAAATCTACTTGTATACAATTTTTATTTAACATTAAGTTTGATCCTTTATTTTCATAATACTAATGAAACATTCCTATAGAGTTTAGAATTTTTATTTTGAGGAGAAAAAAAAATATATGAATCATGTAAATTCTTGTAAAATTATTAAATACATCTCGATGTATAACTTTAAAATATTACTCGCAAGTTTTTATATTGCATAATTGAATACATTGATACTTATTAAATACAGATTACAAAGTAGTTTAATAGTGTGTATAGTATTTCCCTGGAATAAAGGAGCGCATATATCGTAATTGAATCAACAGTGAGGAATATTAAGTTACAAACAAACCCTACAACTCACACACTACATCACAAAGACCCAACTCACATTTGCACCACAACTCACATTAATAATAATGGCATAGCCTGCACATTATCAATGACCCATGTATAGGCCCCCAAGTAATAGACTAATAGCACAATTGGATTAAGAATAATATAATAAGCGATCGGACATTTTTTTGAGGAAATAATTGACATTTTATGAATGTTAACAAGTTAATTTTAAAGGGTACAAAAAGAATCCAAAAGTCTTACAATGACCGGTAATAGAGGGATACTTTACAAAAGAAGATGGGTGTCAATGAAGAGTAAACAAGGCACTTACCATGAATTAGTACACCACTTATCAACATCATGGTCAAATTCACATTTTTGGCCCTCCAATAAAAAAATTCAAACAAATTACTCAATAATAATAATAATAATAGTAATTAATCTGTCAAAATATAATTGTAATAATAATAAGAAGAAAAGGCAAAAAGATTTACTGGATTAAATTACTCTCATTCATGTTTTTAAAAAAAAAAAATTAAATCATTTATGCGTATAATCAAGGAGAACGAGGATAGTCTTAAGGCTAAGGTGCTTATCAATCCTTGTATTTTTAACAAATGCATCGTTGTCATGGTTAATAAATTTTAATATTGATCCTGTGACACGCTCTTGTCTATTTACGAAAAGGGGCAAATCAGGTGAGGGGATAAATATGATGGTTAAAAACTTTTGACTTTGTGAGCCTATACCTAAACAAACTAAGTGACCATCAAGTTAGAGCTAGACTAGAGAGTGGACAATCTAGCCTATTGGCAAAAATAATTGAGACGAGAGTGAATAGGGGCTAATTATGGTCAAGCAAATTGAGTCGGGCAGCAAGCCAGGTCCAATGTTGAAATTTATATACTTCCTCCGTTTTTTTTTTATTGCACCATGAGAGATTTTACACTTCCCAATGCATTACTTTAATTATTAATATCTTCAATTTTACTTTTGTAAAAATTATAAAAATTTGATATTTGAAAAGTAAATTTCGAGACGAATCTAACTAGATCTCACATGACTATGTTTTTCCTAATGGATAAATCACAAATAATGGTCAAAGAAATTAAGTGAATAGTGTAAAAGTCCTTATGGTGCAATAAAAGAAAAACAGAGGAAGTATATGTTTTGGAACTCATACTTGTCATTACTAATTTGTTTTGGATTTAAGGGTGATTTAAAACAATCGACAATATACGATATCTCATATCTCTGTAAGCATAACACAAGTATTAAACTAACCAAGGTCATTTTGGGTGTAACTAAAGGAGCAGTGATCATTTAGAATTTAATATTCTTATATATATATGTGTCCATTACAAACATTTCAAAGTACCTCAATCGCTCATCTCTATTCGATTCTTTACACACATATATATATATATATATATATATATATAATCATGTTTGGTGATTTTATACTCCTTTTGTTCTCGAAAGTTTGTATGAATTTTCGATCCACAGTTAGACTATTTCATTTTTGTTGATTACATTTTACTAACTTATGCATTTTGTTGTACATTCTCTATACATGTTTTTATTTTAAAACTTGTCAAAACCAAAATTCTCTAGTAAATGAGTGAATTAAAGAAAGAGAACCGTTTTACTCTGTAATATATAATTAAATTTTATAAAAATATGCATTGAAACAAACTTAATAAAATGAATATAATTGCATAACGTAGTGGCAAAAAATGGTTAAAGTTTATAAAGTTTTTCCATGATAATTAAAGTATGCCGTCTAAAAATATAACAAGTCGTGAAAGTAATAATAATATTTTTTTATAAAGAGTCATAATAATAATAATAAATTTATTGGGAAAATATTGTATGACTAGGATTATGTTTTTATAAGAACCTACTGTACAGTACTTTGTACTGCTTTTAAGGTTTACCTCTAAAAAAATTTACCACCCTTTTTACCAAAAAAAAGCTACAGTTCTTCTAAGACTCGACCCAAAAATTGCAAAATTATAAATTTTCCAAATTGGGGGTACTTTTGTAAATTTATCATATGAAACGTCAATCAACAAAAAGAACTCATCATGTCTCAACTTTTTTTTTTCTTAAAAAAATTAATTAATAAAAAAAAAATCAAAAATAAAAAAGATTTATATACAGCTTTTCTCCATTTTCATATCCCAATTATCCAATCCTCAATTTTTTACTACACTTTCTCTCTCCATTATTTTTTTTTTGCCCTAAATTTCATCTTCTTCCTCCTCTTCTTATTATTTTCACAATATTTCCCCCCCAAAAAAAAGCTAGCTACTTAGTAGTAGTATCCATTTATTTACTAAATTAGTACAATAATTAGTTATTTACATAATATTCCCCAAAAAGCTAGAAAAAAAAAAAGAAAGACACAATCATCATAATCATCATCATATCATTCATATTTGATATTCCTTCTTCCTTTAATTTCAACAAAGGTGTTATTATATCTTGTTTTGTTCAAAAAAACATAACAACCAAAAAGAAAAGAAACCTTAAACATACTTGAGTCATTGTTTGTGAGAAGTAAGTAATGGATCTTATCCCACCACCGTCGTCATCGTCTTCTGCTACTACAACGGCCAACAACAACAACGGGCAGTTAAGTAGGTACGAGAATCAGAAGAGAAGAGATTGGAACACTTTCGGGCAGTATTTGAGAAACCACCGTCCTCCGTTAACGTTGTCCCGTTGTAGTGGGGCCCACGTTTTGGAGTTTTTAAGGTACTTGGATCAATTTGGAAAGACTAAGGTTCATAATCCGGGCTGCCCGTTTTTCGGACACCCTAATCCACCTGCCCCCTGCCCTTGCCCGCTCCGTCAAGCGTGGGGCTCACTCGATGCTCTCATAGGCCGTCTTAGGGCGGCCTATGAGGAGAACGGTGGCCCGCCTGAGAGTAACCCATTCGGGGCTCGAGCCGTTAGGCTTTACCTTCGCGAGGTCAGGGACTCCCAGGCTAAGGCTAGGGGCATCAGCTATGAGAAGAAGAAGCGCAAGCGGCCTCCGCCTGCGACCACGTCCTCCCGGACAATGCCCCAGCCCCCGCCGCTGCCGCCTCTTCAGCACCACCACCTCCATGGTGAGTCCAGTGGCGGCAGCAGCATCGGATTACTAACTGGACTCACCATGGATGCACATCATGGAAATGGGGGTGGTGGTGGTGCTGGGGAAAGAAGTTTCCCATAAAAATAAGTTATCAATCATAATATATCATGGTAAGTTCAATTATTCTAAATTATGTGTACCCTAGTTAATTAATTTTTCTCTTAGTAGTCATTATTATTCCAACTATGGAACTACTCTAGTAGTCTCTACTACAACCAATTTAGGTATAAATGAAAATGGAAGATTTTTAGTACTAATATAATATGATCTTGTTATATTGTACTATACCTAGTATCTTCTACTACATACTTCATGTCAACAATATGTGATGACAAGTGAAAAAAATTTAAAATTTTGAAGTTAAAATTGAAATATGATGATTATTTTTTACTATTTAATGATTTAAATTCAATTTTAATTTTGTGGATGTGGTAAGTGAGATCATAGAAAAGGGTATTAATTTAAAAATGGAGGTGGAGAAGGTAATTGGGTAGTCAAATCAAAACACTATGTGTTAGGAAAAGGGGGAGAAAATGGAAGAGACCCTTTTGTGAAGATTTTCTGTCAGATTTGTCGAGCATTTAAGGGAAGTTTTCAAGGGTTTTGGTTTTTGTTTATTTTTGGTTGCATGCTACAAATTATTTTTATGACATTTTTATAATTTTTATTTTGCCTAATTTGGGAATTAGATCACTTGTGTTGCTCACTATATATGTACAGTCTAATTGTATCCAATAAATGAAACATAACTAGGAATTCGACATGCAATAGTAATTAAGAATATATTGTTAAAAAAAAAAAAATCTTGTATAGTTGTACATTTGCACTTTTCTACTTAAAGATAAATGTGAAACTATTTAAGGTTGTTAAATGTGTAGTTTAGTTCCTAGCTAGGAATTAGGGATCCTAGGTAATTATACCGTATTTTTATTGTTTCATGTAATTAATTACATGTATCAATTATATCTATTTAGGGGAACAATTTCGTCCATTCATTAAGTTTACTATTGGCTACAAATTAAATCAATAGTAACCATTGAAATAGTAATTAAGATCTATAGTTCAATAACTTTGATTGTAATGTACAAGTATAAGTCATCACATTCATATTATATTATAGCCATTATAAAAGGCAATTAAAAAATAGTTGAGTGGAGGATGGTAGTGATTGTGAACTAAAGCCTAATTAGAGGTCATATATATACACTACTCTCATGTTTTCATGAAGAATATATGAAGGTCGTATGAAATATTTTTATTGACAAAGTATTTAGAAGAATTTTACTGAAAATTCTTGTTTTGTTTAATTGGAGAATTGAAACACTTAGATGTTAAGAATTTGTTGATAACCTAAATTTTTCTATTTCAGACATCCGGTGTCTTCCTTAGTTACTCGGACTCTTCATTTACTTCTGATACCTCTTAGTTTGTGTAGACACTTGACAACTTATCAATTAGACAATAAACCTTGAATTTATAGCAATGTATGACATCGGTCGATACTGTTTAGCTAAAATTAGTGTCCTTTAATTATGATGCCAATAATTAATTACAGTTCCTTAATAAGGATTATAAAGTCTTTGATAATGTACAATCCAAGTTCTTTAGCTTCAAAACTAGCCTTATCAAGTGCATTTTTTTCTTTTTTATAAACAATGACAAGGGAGTTAAGCTAAGCTTTTCATTACTTGGACATTCATAATTACAATTTTAAGCAAGGTAATTAAGAGGTGATTAGAATATTGTTGTTAAGTGAGCCGGAAGATTATAACTAGTGATCAATCTTATGTCAAGTATGTTTGTACTTCTTTGCTTAGAGTGAATTGCAAAAGATCCTTTGTTTATTGCTGCAAGGCACTCCAACAGGCAGGCAACAACAACCCTTAAATCCTTTCAAATCAAATCATTCTTTTTCAATTTCTTTGTGCTTGTTTAGTAAATTAGATCTACTTAATTGGTGTTTAATCGTGCTAATTTAGGTGATAATACTCGATCAAGATCCATTTCAGGGAGATGGAGTCTAGCCTATCTTACAAGCTTACATGACATTCATTACAAGGAACTGTTTGAGTCTTTATAACTTTTATGAAGAAAACAGAGGAAGTAATTTTGAAGAGATCGTAATATATATAGATATAGATATGTTGTTACTTGTTAGAGATGATGTTTATGGTTCAATTGGAACTTCTATGGTAACACCACAATACAACTATTATCTTAGATGCACGCACGCAGGGTTTTTTTGATTAAGATACGAGAATAAAACCAACAACATTATATCTAGGCGAAAATATATAATGTATGTATGGTTGAATTCATGAATTGTCATTACCTATACCCCATAATATAGGAATTCATGTAACAAGTTTAAGTGGACTACACACTTGAGTTTTAATTTGAAATTAACATGATATATGTATGTGAATATGTGCATGAACCACCCTAAGTTTACTCGAAGTATAAAAATTGACATTACTCTATATAGCAAATTAGATTGGCAGACAAAATATTTTGGACATAAAAAGTGATGCTTCGTTTTGTTGTTTGGTTGAGTTATTGTTGGAAACATCTTCTAATTTGATGACTAGACTTCCATATTTTTAAGCCACCTCACATAAATATACATTAGCTTTCGTCAACAAAATCAGATATTGTTGCTAAATTTCTTTTCCTTTTTTGGCAACTGTTTGGCTGAGTCTTATTGCCTATTTCTAGAATGATATGTTGATCATATATTATATCTTAATTAAAACAATATTTATGGCTGAAAGTGGAAATACGTATTCTATGTGCAAGATGCCAAGCCTAAGATCTATATGCCCTAATAAATTATATTATTAATGTTGTAGATTATATATAATTAATAATTATATTATTTATATATATAGGTTTATGTAGATGAATAATTATGTTTTGATGATTGAATGGAGGGCCAACAGATAAGTAGGTCAAATAATTGTATTAATTACTTTGGTTCACAATTTTGTCCTTGGCTCATGTTTTTGGGCTAGCATGTTTACCTAATATATAGTATATTTTTTTTAATTAATTAGGTGTATATAAATATCAAATTTTGTCACATACTTTCAGATGAGGAGATTTTTATCATATAAGTATTGTTTTTATATATGTGCATTGGTAAGAGTCCAAGACATTGTTAACATGCATGAAGCATGAATTCAAACAAGTTACTTACGTAGTGATGTACCACCAATCTAAGATTGTGCATCATACATTGTCTAGCGACTTTAATAGTTTGTCACCAATTGGACCTCCTGTTTGGTACCCATGGTCTTGGTATGACCCTCGTTCCTACAAGCTTCCGGTAGGATTTTTGTCACAATGTCGAGTTGGTGGTTGTTTTTTAATACGTTGATAAGTGCATCTCTAAGGGTTGTAGGCTTGTAGCAAAATGAGAGTAGACTTGCATCATATCAAAAATAAAAAGTACTAAATGTTGAGCTAAATGACCGGATAATGTAGTTAATATGATAATTAAGTGAAAAGTTACCTGTTTAGTTTAAGGGTCTCATCATTGAAAATTAGTCCAAAAGAAGGAATTATTAAAGGCCTTAATTTGAATCTCGATCACTAATAAATGATAATGAATTACTTACCTCCGATACAAGAAAAGTTTGTTTTTTCATGATGAAATTTATTTTAGTGATCAAAAGGATCGATTTTGATAATAGCTAAACTATTCTCGATCACCATTTTTAATTCTTTGATCGAAGGAAATTCCATTTTGAATCGGGATAAATGCGGAAATATGAAATTTATGTATTGATAATACATGAATTTGAACCAAATTCATACTAAAAGAAAGTTCTTCCTTCGTTATGATCCAATAAGTGTATAATGTGTTGTTTTTATATTGGCCACATATTGTTTCAAAAAAAAAAATATTGGTCACATATTAAGTTATTAACCATTTAACCCTAGTTAGGATACGCTGTATGTAGGCCAAGTGCTCCGCAACAGGTTTGGAATTTGGATTAATGAATAATTTAGAGATAGATTATAGTATTAGTTTGGAATTCTGACAAGATAAGTATGGTTTAAATTATTAAGTACTCACATGCTTAATTTTGATAACCCAAAAATAGATAATTAAATGAATAACTAAAAGTGAGCAATGAACCTTGACTTAAAATGAAATTAAGTTGCTCCTCAAACTTGCAAACTTGTAAGATTATTAATATCTCCTCTTCTCCAACATAAGTTGATTCAACACTCAAAGATCATAGGTCATCTTGTAAACTAATTACTCTTTTCAAAGTAAATTCTAGCTTATCATTTGTTTTGAGCTACTTTATTTTGTCCTTCTTGATAGTTCACTGCACACAATTAATGATGCCAATGGAAGAACTAATAGAGGCTCGTTTAACTTCAACTCTTAATGAGGTCTTGACATAGTGATTAAGATTAATGGTGGCTTGTGTATGCATTTATAACAATGCAGTTTGAAGTACGTTACAGATAAAGATATCTATAAATTTCCCTTTAGATTAAAGTATCTATCACATTCAATTCAAATCTACACTATTTTAATAATAATAGGGTTTTAATTGCATTTAATTTAACAACTAGCGAAATTGTCTGAATACACACAAGAAAGTACATTCATCATTAATGACATTCTAATTTGTATACTCGTGTATTGAATGAATATCTTGGTCTGAATCATAACACGTCGTTAATATAGTGCAATATTTCTAGAACGGACGGAGTATTTAGCAATATGTTGTGATTATATGAACTTCAAAGGGCAAACAAGTTAATGGCATAAAAGCATGGAGAAAACAAGGGCAGCATATTGACAAAGAATAATTTAGGTGGTAGTTGAACTTATGCTACAAGTCATCATGCATGGCACATCACAGGTTCTTATTATTCACAACGTACAGTATCTATCATAATTCTACTGCTAATAAATGACACAAAACTTTATCATTAAAAAGATAATTTTATGTTCGTGTCTACTGTGTCTATACTGCTCATCATTGATGCAACTATCAATATTACGTAATTCTTGTAGATTGAGATTCTTATTCGTTCTTTTTTTTTTTCTTTTTCGCAATTTTTAATATAGATTGAGTACATAATTTGAACATAAATATCTTTCAAGTTTCAATACATAATTCCTATGATAATTAGGGCATGTTCTCTTACGTTGAAATTCAGTTCAGTTCAGCTCAGCTCAGCTCAGTTCAGTTCCTAATTTCCTTCTCTTATAAAATATTCATTTCAGCTCAGCTCAGTTCAGTTCAGCTCAGTTCAGTTCAGCTCGGTTTAGTTCAGTTCAGTTCAACTCAATTCAGTTCAGTTCAGTTCAGCTGAGTTTAGTCAGTGAGAACAGGCCCTTACATAATTAGTACTGCTTCTATCCCTATATTTTTTGCCTTATTTGACTTTTTACGGTTTATAATACTACGCATCTTATAACGTTTATAATTTCATTTTCTATGCATGTAAAAATTATAAAAATTTAATAAAATATATAATGAGACAAATCCAATAAAATCTCACTTGACTATATTATCTCTAGTACATTAATGGATATTTATGGTCAATGTTTTCAGAGTTTAACTCAATTATTTGCAATGGGGCAAAAAAACGGGACTAAGCGAGGCTGCGAGGGAGTGTTTTAAGGAAAATATTTTTCTATATACAATTCTTAGGAAATGGCCATAAGCTGTTTGGTTCTCTTTTTTTCTTTTTTTTTTTTTTTTTTTGAAATATGTTTGGTTCTCTTCTCTTAAAGGAATATGTAATTTAAAAGAAATTTGGGAGACCAAAGCGGAGGTGGGTTTCCAGGCCTTGAATTTAATTCCTCCCCTTTTACTTTTTTTAACAGTCTTAAAATTGGGGTGTCAATTCGAATAATCGGATCAGGTCGGATCGGGTAAATTTTTAAAGTTAAGTCATATTAAATTGTTATGTTCACGCGAGTCTAAATTTAAATCGGATATTTTTCGGATTGGGTCGGATCAGGTGTGCTTTTAACACCTCGTTAGGAGTACATATTTCATCCCATTTATGAGCTTAAAAAGTAAGGGGAAATGGTAACTTAAAAATTCACACACCTAAATGTTATGGTTGGAAGGATTTAATCTTAAACTTGTGATTTTAAGGTCATAAAGATGAATTTCTCACCAATTATATGGATCTAATATACATAAGTTTTTCTTTTTATCAACAAGAATTCACAAATCAAAGTCAATGAACCTTAATATAAAAAAATGGGTATAGGGCAAACAAAGTGGAATTACATTACAATTAGCATCATTTAAAGTTTTTAATCAATTTTTTTTTTTTAAAAAGGTATTATAATCCAAAGTTGGAATTATTCTACTACATCCGTTAACATTTACTTGCAACTTTGGGGTATTATTTGAGAGCTATAAAATACTCCAAAGTTGCAAGTAATTGTTAACAGAGGTAGTACAAAAATTTATGGAAGTTGGGATTATTTTTCTAATTTATATTTTATATATTAGTGAATTAATCAGTTCGTTAAAACTATTATATGAATAGTGAAAAAAGTCAAATTGTAACACTTATAAAAACAAGGAGGGAGTATATGATGAGGAGAAAAAAAAAAAGCATGTGCAAATAGTATAATGTTGCAACTCTTAGAATTTTGTTAATTTTTTAAAATGATAATTATTGCAATATTTATATGGAGTATACTGTATCAAATAATTTTATTTGATTTTTACCTTTTATTATTATTATTAAGAGTTGGACTCTTTTCACCTAAGCTAGGTGGACTTAGGGGTGGCAATGGGTCGGATTTAGATCGGATTATGCAAAATCCGACTCCGACCCTACAAGCTGTCGGATTTTTTATCTGCCTCCGCCTCCGACATCCGACTCCGATCGGACTTAAATTTCCATCCTCGGACTCCGCCCCGATTCGACTTTGACTCAAACTTTAAAAGTAATTTTGACCCAATTATCCATAGCAACCAATATATAATCAACTTTAAAGACCAATAAATTCATAAATTAAATGATAAAGAATATTTCCTCCGTTCTATTAATATTGCAATAATGGACTTTTAGCACTATTCATCACTCTTGTTTGACCATATAATATGAATTATACGTTAAGCAAAATATAGTCAAGTGAGATATTGTTGGATTCATCTTATTAAATACTTTCACAATATCAAGTTTTATGATTTTTACTCTTACACAATAATAGATATTTATCATATAAAATGTATTTTGGGTGGCGTAATTTCCTCCCTGTTGTAATATTAACAGGACGGAGGAAGTTTATAAGTACATGAAAAAGTCGGAGTCGGATCGAATAAGTCGAGTTTTAAGTAGACTCCAACTCCGACCCTCCTTTGACTCGAAGTCGGATTCGGATAATTATTTCTTGGATTCGATTTGGACATTTTTCTTCGGATCGGATCGGAGTAGGGCGGATTCAAGATAATCCCTGGTTGGACTCTTTTCACCTTATTAAAATAAAAAAAAATTAAAAAGCATGCAAAATTTCAGAGAACAGTCTCAAAGGTCATCTCAATAAACTTGAAGTGAACTAAAGGAGTCGTCATTTTCAGAAACCTTTTACTTGTACAGAAGATTAAGAATTTTATTTATAATCATTCCCAATTAAAATTAATAAACAATTACGATTTTACCATTTTAGCCTTGAAGTTTCTCGGCTATAAAGCATAAAAAAGGTGAGGGTACGAGATTTTCCCCCAAAAAATTCCACCATTGGATTCTGATTTGACATAAAGGGCTTTATTGGGCCCACTCACTCACGTGGTCCTTTGTCCTTAATGTCGGCCCAGTGGGCTCCTCTTAGCCTTAGCCTTTGGGCCCACATTCTGTCTTACCAATTTTCCTGCTAATTTTCAACAATTGCCACGTGGCATTACTGTCAATATATCTATGTCACTTCAAAGTTGGGACTCTTGAGGAGTTGAAAGTGTGTGTGGTGTTTAGACCTCATGATTTTGTATAGTCTTAATCAATGTTTGTCACACTCAATATCTAATTTGCACTAATTATAAAGATCTTTATTAGATTATGCTTATTTAATCAATGAATTAGGCCATCATTTCGCTGCCTTTATGATTTTGTTAAACAAAAATATAATCTATGAGATTTAAATCTCATAATAGTCTATACTAATATATTAAAAAGCGTTTATAACAAAGTCTATATGTCATGTAAACTTTTTCACTTACACCATGTCAGCTATTCAAACTCTCATTATGCCACATCACCATTCAATCAACCTTAATCAATATGCCACATCACAACTACTCCATATAAAAATATAAGCATAAGGAGATTTGAACATCCAACGTCTCATAGAAAATGTGGTTATTTAACTATCTAAGTCAATTGATTAAATACGAAAAGCATATAATTTTTACATATCATTAATTAAAGATGCTAGTGATTAAAATAGTACATCGTCAACAATGAATGTGATACGAGAAGTGTATATTGATGATGATTAAGAAAAATTGTGAATTGAGAGTTAGGGTTTAGAAAGATTTAATTTAGAAAAAATAACATATCGTTTACACTCGGTATACCATATAAAATAAGATGGCATACCATTTAAGAGAAAAATATTATGTTGACGTGAGAATGGAGGATTGGAAATCGAGACAAAATATAGTCTTGTGGATATTTTTCATTTTAAATTTTCAGGGTTAATAAGTTCAGATAAATTTCTATAACGGTTAATAAGTTTAGATAAGACATGTTCAGAAAAAATAAGTTTTGATAAGTTGTGATGAGGGTTAATCAGAGACACATTCGAAGTGATGGGTTGTGCAAAATCTGCTGTTGCGAGGGAGAAAGCATTATTCATGCCATTTTTCTTTGTTCGAAGGTCAGGGGAATTTGGGATTTTTCTCCCTTTGCTGAGTTGTTGGGGGATGCTCCGTCTGTTTCCTTCTCAGAGAGACTGCTTTGGTTTCATTTGAAGGTTAATCATGATGATTTTTTGCTCTTTGTGTCTTTGGCATGGGCTGCTTGGGCTTACAGGAACTCTATTGTGTTTGAGGAGCCTTGGCAGAGCAGAGAGGTTGGTGTGCTGGGTTTTGTCAAACTTGTTCATGATTATTCTGAACATATGAAGGCAGTGTCTTGTGTGTCGAATCGTGCTGGTGGTGTCTCTAGAGGTTCTTGGGTCCTTCCGGATGCGGGTGTGGTTCGTATTAATACGGATGCTGCTGTATTTGAAGGTTGGGGTGTTGGTTTGGCTACTGTTATTAGGGACTGTCATGGTGTGATTCTTGATGTGATTGTGCGCAGATTGCAGGCTCAGATGCAGGTTGCTATGGCTGAAGCTTTGGCTGCCAGAATGGGAGTGTATTTAGCTAGGAGATTGGGCTGGGACAGGGGTGGAGCTTGAATGTGATGCGTCTACTGTTGTTAACGCCATCAACAACAAACGAAATGGTCGTGCCCCTATTAATCTGGTTTTCGAGGACATTGCTGTGTTAAGGAGTTCTTATTTTTCTCGTGTTATCATGTCAAAAGAGGGGGGAACTGTGTAGCTCATATGGCTGCCAGGTTGATGCCTTCTAATTCTTTTGAGCAAGTGTTTGTAAACTGACTTTCCGCAAGGCCTTGTCGCCTTGGCGGAGTTGATCTCGTTTAATTAATTCTAATCCCGCTTGTTTGAGCTTCTTTCAAAAAAAAATAAAAAAATAAAATTATATCTAAAATAAGTTCTAATAGGGATTAGTAAAGTAAAAATCAGGTTAATAAAAGGCACCTTAAAATTCAAATGGATAAGAGCCAACTTTTACAATGGGCCCAATATTGCCAAATTGTTATTCCTCCAATCTGTAAGGCACTCACATAAGCTATGTACTATCATCTCGATTAACATTGGTCCAGTTTCATATTTCAATATTGGGTCATTGTGGCGTGGTTTGGCCCAACAAAATGCTTTGATCTTACTCTGACATTACTTATTAGTGAAAATTTTACCCTACACCCTAGTGTAGGGTGTGTTCCCTACACCCCCCCTATGCTACGTCGTTTTGTAGCTGGTATTGAGTTCTCATGTGCAGCTTCTTTCCTTTTGCGATTCTTTCCTTTTTTTTTTTTTTTTTTTTTCCTTTTTTTCTTTTTTTCTTTTCTTCCTCTTTTTTCCTTTTTCCTTTGATTCTTATTATTCAATTTATGTATATATATGATTTTAAACCCTATTTTTTCTCTCTCTTCAATTGATCAACCAACCTCCATTTTTGATCTACATTTTTCTCTCGCTAATTCATCTTCTTCATTTGATTTTTTGAACGAATTCGTTAATTGTTACCGATCATCAATGGCGAATTCTGCATCTGGAGATTGCGTTGATTTTGATCGCGATTGCGAGCGTGTGTTTCCTTCTGGACTTCGTTTCGTTGATTCGTTTGTGCAACAATGTGAGTAATTGTGATCATAATTTTTCAATTTTTAATTATCCCTAATTTGTTCTGTTATAATGCTCTGTTAATTTGAACTTAATTGATGTATTATTATTCACTTTCGATTTTTGAATTTACTACTTTGATTACATTATGATGAACGTTTTTGGATTGTTGTACTTTGTATGAACATTTTGTTGCTTCATTTGTTGTTTCATTTGTTGTTTTCTCTGTGTTTTAGAATTGTGTGTTTTTGTCGTATATTTTGTAGATTATACTTTCAATTAATCGTTTATGTTTTCTTATTCATTGTTACTAATGTGTTTATGTTCAGTCTTAAAGTCATTTTTGATCATTTATTTTTACATTTTTATATCGATATTATGTGTAGTGGTAAATAATGAAAATATTGTTCAAAATATTATGTGCTGAAATTCTTTTTGCAATTGATCATGTGCTGTTTTGATATTGAACATTTTACTTATTTGTTATTGTTCATTCATGAAACTCTTTATGATCATTTATAATTGTATATTGTGCAGTGGAAAAAAATGATGATATTATGTATTTAGAAGCAGAACAGTCTGAATTAAAGGATAAAGAATTTAAATCTGAAGATGAAGCTTTCGAAGCGTATAATGAATATGCTTTTAGGAAAGGTTTTGGAATTCGAATTGGGAAGAGTAAGAGAAGAAGAGATGATTCTTTTTTGATGAAAAGATTTGTTTGTTGTAATGAGGGATTCAAAGATAATAAGTGTAAGAATAAAAGGATTTATGAGAAGTTGGATCATCGAACTGGTTGTTTAGCTTTTGTGCAGTTTCATATTGATCATTTAGGGGTCTATACATGTACAAGACATGAAATGGTTCATAATCATGCTATGATTCCTCCTGAAAAAAGGCATTTGATAAGGTCTCAAAGAGATGTGAATAAAGAGCAGCTTCTTTTCATTTCAACAATGAAATTGAGTGGAGTCAAAGTTACTGATTCTTTGAGGGTTCTAAAGAAGGAGGTTGGGGGATCTCCTAATCTTTGTTTTACTGCTTCTGATGCTTATAATGCATTGTCATCTGAAAAAGCTGCCCAAATTGAAGGATGTGATGGTAACCAATTGATTAAATATTTTGCCAAGAGACATGTGGATGAGACAGATTTTTATTATGATTTTGAACAAGATGATAGTGGTGCTTTAGTTAGTTTTTTTTTGGCGTGATGGTAGGATGATGAGAGATTATCATTACTTTGGAGATTTGTTGGTTTTTGATACAACTTATAGAACTAATAAATATGGAATGATATGTGCTCCATTTGTTGGGATGAACCATCATGGTAACAATGTCATGTTTGGTATGGGTTTTATTCTTAATGAGCGCACCGAGTCTTTTGATTGGTTGTTTGATACATTTTTGCACTCAATGGGGAGGAAAAGTCCCATTACAATTATGACTGATCAAGCACAAGCGATTGCAGCGGGTATAAGAAACATTTTTCCTTCAACTGTTCATCATCGTTTATGTGTATGGCATCTTGAACAAAATTCTAAGAAACACATTGGAGCATTGAGAGCTTTGGAAGGCTTTACAGATTTGTTTGGATATCTTTTGAAGTATTGTGAAACTCCTGCTGAATTTGAATATTTCTGGAAAAGGTAAATTATTGTTTTTTATATTTATTTTTTATTTTTATTATGTGATATATTTGATTATTATGTGATATATATATGAACATTTAGTGTTTTACATATGATCATACAATTTACTTTGTTATGTATGTTATCATAATATTATTAGTGTCCATATTGTTTATGATCATTATTCTTTACACAAATGTACATATTTTAATTTATATTTTGTTCATTTTTAAATTAATATATGATCATTTCTGTTATACAGGATGTGTGATAAATACAAATGTGAAAATGATGATTGGTTATGTGATTTGTATAAAATAAAGGAAATGTGGTGTCCTGCTTATTCTAAGAAGTATTGGTCTGGTGGTATATTGTCTTCTCAACGTAGTGAAACTACTAATAAGTCAGTTTCACAACGTCTTAATAAGACTCAAGGTTTATGTGATTTTTATCATGTTTTTCTTGATGTCATTTCTGAGTGGAGAAGTAAGGAAGGTGCAAGAGATTACAATACTCTGAGGGGTAATAGGCACCTAGCTTTTGCTAATATTGGTATATTAGTTCATGCAAGATCATTGTACACTATTCAAGCTTATGTTCTTTTTGAAGAGGAGTTCATTAGGGGGACAGCTTATGATCATGTTGATAATGGTTTGCGTTTTCCAGAATATTCATATCTTCTTTGGAGGCCTGGGAAGGATATAATTAAGCATGAAGTTGTTTTTAATAAGGAAACACATGCAATTTGTTGCACATGCATGTACTTTAGTGAGACTGGTTTACTTTGTTCTCATTCTCTTCGAGTATATCATTTGCATTGTGTGCGTAATATTCCACAAGAGTATATAATGAAACGATGGACAAAGGCTGCCATGTGTAGTCATGGTATTGAAGAACCTACTTTGAGGACAAATGTTGTGGCTACTAGTGTTTGGAGGTCACAAACAATCAGAAAGTTTGTTAAGTTGATAACAAGTTGTCAGAATTCTTTGAATGCAAGGGCAGAGGTTGAGTGTTATTTCAATCTGTTAAAAGAAAAGGTTGAGAGTGTATCAGGTGTAATTGACTTTAGTGAACCTGTTAAAGAGGTTGAAATTGTTGATCTTGAGATCAAGAATCCTCCAAAAGCTAGGCCTAAAGGTGAGAGGAATGTAAGGCCTAAGAGTACCTTGGAGAAGCAGTGTAACAAGGCAAAGGGTAATTTCAAGAGGAAAAAGTCTCTGTACACTCCTTACAAAAGGGGTATAGGGCAAGCAGTTGTACAGGTATATGATCATTTCATATTTTCAAATTGATCATTTCAGTTTTCGTAAATGATCATTTATGTTTTTTTTTTTAAATAGGAACTTGATGAGAACGGTTGTGCTGTTACTTATGCTAATTCTATTAGTGATCCCATTGAATTGATTGTTTTGAGCAATAAACGGGCTCAGGTAAATTCAAATGTGCCAAAAAAAACATTTTATTTATATTTTATTAATATTGATTTTTATAATTTAAAAATATAGGTCGGCTTAAAATCAGCTGTTGTAGAAGAAATTCCTTCTAGTTCTAAGGAATCAAATCATAGTATTTCCAATGATTTTGATCAGGTATATGAACATTTATGATCTATATTATAATTTTTTTTTATTTAATTTTTTATTTTTTATATTTTTTTTGGTTTTTTTGTAGGCTACTGGTGAAAGCTCTCTTTCATCTATCATATCTATTGATGTTGATATTTCATCTATTGCTAAGGTTTTTTTTTTCCATATTTGTTTGTATAAGTGTTTGTAACTGATCATATACTGGTTTATTAATGATCAATTTAATTTTTTTAAAGGCGAAGGATTTAAATCTTGAAGGTGTTTCTGCTGTTCAACCTTGTTCTAATTTTGGTGCAAATGAAGGTGCTTCTGGTGTTAAAACTTACTCTCAAATTAATCCAAGAGTTCCAATTCATACTAGTGCGTCAACAAAATCTCCTGTTGTTATTCAACCTACTGTTCCCAGGAATGTTCAAAATCAAACTCAGAATTGTTCAAACACCAATCCAGAAATGATCATATCCAACTCCAGGAATGTTCAATCAACAAATGTTCAAGTTATTTCTCCTACGGTTCAAATAAATGATCAAGGATTTCCTGTTCAGAATGTTCAAGTTACTCCTCCCACAGTTCAAAGAAATGATCAAGGTGCTCGTGTTCCAATTCTTCAATCAAGAAATGTTCAATTAGGTTCTAAAAAGATTTCTTCTAAATATGATAGGTTGTTAGCCTTTTTTGATACAAGTGTAGCTAAACGTTTGGCTAATAAAGATAAATAATTAGTATTCCAGAACTTTATAAACATTAGACTTTTTTGTAATGTTGATTTAAT